TCACTTTGTTCCAATGTAGGGACATAGCAGATGCAGATGATGCAGCTGTTTTGCTCTGTGTGTGTGCTCTGTAGAGCCAACCCTTCCTTTGGTGAGATGTACCGAGTTTTAGACCTAGGGAAAAACATTAGAGAGTCTGCCTGTGCCACAGTTAACTCCTACTCTTCAATCCAACTTATCCTTAATAAAACAGGTTTTTAGCCAGGCATGGTAGTGCACACCTGTAGTCCTAACTACTAACTACTTGGGAGGTTGAAGTGGGAGGATCACTTGAACCCAGGAGCTCAAGGCTGCAGTGAGCTATGATTGTGCTACTGCACTTTAGCCTGGGCAACAGAGTGAGACCCTTATCTCTTAAAAAAAAAAATCAGATTTTTTTAACCTTCACTTGTCTGATTTCTCCAATTGTTTCTCAGTAGTACTTGTGAAACCGTAGTATCTTCATTCAATTAACATAAAGTAATATTCAACTACCAATGCTGTAAATACCCCTAGGGAGGGAATACATTAACTCATAACCCCTTATGATGAGTGAACCTATGTCATGCAATTAGCATTATCCAGTCACCTACCATGAATGAGTTTAAAACCAAGAAAAACAGCAGGATCATCCTAGATGAATTCTTAGGATGCTATCAAGGGTGGAGATGAAGACCCCACACCCCATGATACAACTTACAGTGTATTTTTATCTCAGTGCTTGGCAGACTGGGAAAATGCCCTCTTCCTCCTGGTGAGCCTGGATGTGTGTTGATACCAGCACAGTGGTGTGGAGAAGGGGGTGCCTTGGGGTCAGACTGCTTGAGTTCATCTTTTCTCTACCCCAACCATAGGACTTTGGGATGCTTACTTAAACTCTTTTGGTCTTCCATTTCTTACCTGGGAAATTGAGATAATACCTAGTAGGATCATTGTGAGGAATAAAATGAAAGAATTGTATGAAGATCTTTGAACAATGCCTGACAAGTAGTCAGTGCTCAGTAAATGTCAGTGATTATTATGAATAGTAAGAAAATATTTTTCTGCCACCTAAAAATTTTCCTTGAGGACACATCTTTAGAATGTGTCAGTGGGAAAGTATGCTGTCCTTTAAAAATAATTTTGTTTTGCAAACATTTTAGAACAAACACTTTTAGTGAGAAACAGCTATATTGCTTTCTGGCAAATATGAATTAGGATTTACTTGTTAAAAAATAGAAATACGACTTCTATTACTTTCTCCACTCATGCCATCTCCAGAAACATTTCTTAGCTACTTTAACCCAAAGACACACATCAGACCCAAGATCTAGTGACACCTGCCTCTGGAAGGTCTCCACCTGGGCCCCTCAGTGGAGGCATTTCTAATTTTGAAATGAGCTGTGTGGTTCAAAAGCTCTATGCTTTCCAACAAGTAGATGATTGATAAGACTTTCTTGTTCACTGATCAAGCTTGGTAAAAAGGAAAAACAGGAACTAAAAATACCCTTTGCGTTTGAACTGGGGGCACTGAAAGTACAAGGAGGCCAAGATTTACATAATTATATATTTTATTTATTTATTTATTTATTTTTGAGACAGGTCTAGCTCTGCTGCTAAGACTGGAGTGCAGTGGTGCCATCATAGCTCATTGTGACCTCGATCTCCTGGGCTCATGCAATTCTCCTACCTCAGTCTTGAGTAGATAGGACTATAGGTATGCACCACCATGCCCGGCTAATTAAAAAAATATGTTTTTGGAGAGCTGGGGTCTTGGCATGTTGCACAAGCTGGTCTCAAACTCCTGACCGCAAGTGATACTCCTGCCTCACTTGGCTGCTAAAGTCCTGGGATTACAGGTGTGAGCCATAGTGCCTTGTCCACATAATTATATATTTAATTGGTAGTTTGAAGTAAAATTATCCTGAAATCTAGGTATTTTTGTTGTCACGTGTCATAAACTTGTAAATTGTTGCTACAACAAGAATAGAATGCCTTTTTGTTGAATTTTTTTTAAAAAAACTCAACATTCTGGCCATTATACCATCTAGGAATTTTACAACCTATAGAACTATCAAGACAGAAATTAATTTGAAGGTCACATCAGCTTTCACATGAATTTTCTGTAAAATCGAGATGACATTTTACATGTTAACTAAGTAAAGGTGACATAATAAATGATGGTCATTTCGGTTCTGTTTCTCTTTTCCAGCTGGAAAGCCCATGTGAGAGGTACTTTAGGGAAACTCTCACTGAGTCAGTCCTTCACCTTTTCATGCCAGGGAATCCTGATGTTACTCAATGCATTTGTCATACATTGTACTTCTACTGAACAAATAAACTAAAAGTCGCTAACCTGAAGCAAAAAGTTATCAGGCTGGGAATACGGATTTTTCTTTTTTTTTTTTTTGAAACGGAGTTTTGCTCTTGTTGCCCAGGTTGGAGTGCAATGGCGCAATCTCCGCTCACTGCAACCTCTGCCTCCCGGGTTCTAGCGATTCTTGATTCTCCTGTCTCAGCCTCCCGAGTAGCTGGGATTACAGGCCTGTGCCACCACACCCAGCTAATTTTTGTATTTTTAATAGAGATGGTGTTTCATCATATTGGTTACGCTGGTCTTGAACTCCTGACCTCAGGTGATCTGCCCGCCTTAGCCTCCCAAAGTGCTGGGATTACAGGTATGAGCCACTGCGCCCGGTGGAAATATAGATTTTAAACTTAGCATATGAACGAATGTGGAGAGTAATAATGGCAGAAAATTGATATCTTTTATTGCAAATCTTCCATCTGCACCTAAGAGATAGACGTCTCAGACCTGAGAGCCTAAGCTAGTGTCCTGGGTTAGACAGCTACTAAATTCAAGATCCTCTTGCTAATAGACAAAGTAAACCAAGAGTAAAAGCAATAAAGTCATCATTTCATGAAAGAATCCAGTCCTTTTTTTTTTTTTTTAAAATGATTAAGAGAATATTTATTTAAGTAAGAATACACACAGTTGGCCAGCTGTGGTGGCTCACACCTATAATCCCAGCACTTTGGGAGGCTGAGGCGGGTGGATCACTTGAGGTCAGGAGTTCCAGACCAGCCTGGCCAACATGGCAAAACCCTGTCTTTACTAAAAATACAGAAAACTAGCCAGGTGTGGTGGCACTCGCCTGTAGTCCCGGCTACCTGGGAGGCGGAGATGTGAGAATTTCTTGAACCAGGAGGCTAAGGCTGCAGTGGGCAGAGATCACGCCACTGTACCCCAGCCTGGGTGACAGACTAAGACCCTGTCTTAAAAAAAAAAAAAAAAAAAAAAAAAAAGAAAGAATGCGTATAGTCATCATTGCCGTTGCCAGACTTGACATGAGATGTTAAATGTTCAACCCAATTTTCCTTCCTGGATAAGTTTTTCTTTTCTATCCCTGTCAGTTTTGAAAACATAATACTAGAAGAAGAGGGGCCCAATTCCACAGAGAGCTCCCAAGAGAGGGTTTTTGGGAGCGGGTCTGAAATCAAGATAGACACTTGCTGATCTTGCATAGGTCCAACAAATCAAGGCAGTATCTTGGATGAGCCCTTGGTGGTTAGGGTTGTTGTACTGAAGCAGTATTCCTGTGTAGGCCAGGCCCTTATGGCCAATCACTCAGCTTGTGCCCACTGGGTCTCCAGAGATATGTTATATTCAGCTGGGTCAAGGGTTGAGGGCAGAGTGGCCAGGCGCGATGGAGTATACTTTGGGAGCTACATCTTGGTGACCCAGCCCAGATCCTATTCTTTGTGTTCTTTTTGGGATTCCAGTGCTTTCATGAGTAAGCATTCTCCCCGATAACAGAATCTTATATATTGGAAAATAGCAAAATATCCCAGGCAGATTCTCTCTTTTGCATATAAATCTTAAGGGGAGAGTGAAGCAAGAGTGGTAGATGTGGAAGTTGGCAGAGCAGCTAGCGAGGTGCTCAGTGGAGACACTAGCTTGGGGAGCAATGAGAAGTTGGCCTCAGAAGGCAATGAGATGTCCAGGGCCAGGGTTGCCACTGGGATCTGAGAGCCTGAACAACTATGGACGCCTCCCCCACTCCCCAGTTCTCCACAAGGCGTGGTTGTGTAGCTGCTGAATGTTGCTTTCCATTTCCTCACTTTCTGGTGTATTCTTACAATAACCCCCAACCACCAAATGGGTCTGTGTCCCTTGAACCCAAAAGAGTCTAACATTGGGTCACAGTTTCTATCAAGGATCTGAGGACTAGGGGCAATTTAGTGTCCCTATATGTTAGGACTCCCACTTAAAGAACTTGGTTTTTTGATCCCAACAAGTTCCCTGCAAAGAACTCTATATTCTCTCTCTTCAGTGAGTGAAATAATAAAAATGCAAATCTCTACTCGTCCCCTGTGTGTCAAAGACATTCCTTTTCAAGGAGGTTCATTCTGAAGTGACCTCTGAGTGACAGTACAAAGTAGTAGACAGTAGCTTAGGCATTTTCAAAGGAACGGGTATGCCTAACAGTATCTAACATTTACTGTGTGGTTCTTTAGGCTCTGCACTGAATATACATTACCTAATCTAATTCTCACCACAACCCTTTCAGATGGGTATTATCCTGTTCCCTGTTTATATTTTAGTAAGTGACTGGACATCACCCAATTAGTTAAGTGGTAGAATTGGGGTTCAAATTTGGTTTTAACTGTAGAGCCTGAATTCTTAACCAGTGCGCTATACTAGAAGCAAACTCTGAAAAACACATCTCATCCAATTTCTTGACAGGATATTTCTGTTCCCAGTAATTTATTCTATTAGCAGGTCCAAGTAGCTGAGCCTTTGGGCAACTCCCAGGCCTTTCTGCAGTGGCCTCCTGTGACCCCTGCACTGTCTGGTGGAACCAGGGTGTGTGTTTTGTGTTCCACTCAAAAATCACAAGGGATAACCTGCTTCTCTCAGCTTGCTCTTTGAACGCTTTAACCCAGATTTTTCGAAGTCTCTGCTTTTACCTGGTTCTTGCTTTTTGCTGCAATTTCCAAGGGATCCCTGCCTTCAGGCCTTTTTTCCACCTGGGGAGAGATGATGTGCTATCATATGATTTTATTAGATAAGAGAAATACGCCCAACATGTGCTGTAGCTTTAAGATAGCAGGTTGCAGTGGCTTTTTCGGTGGTGAAACATTTCCAGAAATAAGAAAATAAGTCCCATCACCAGGTCTCTAGCTGTGTTTCTTCACACTGGCACCAGACAGAAGCTCTGGAAAATGGAACATATAATGTGTCATCCCCCAATGAGGCCTCATTGGCAGAAACACCAACAAAAAATACACAACTCTGTTATGATAATGTCAAGCATCTCTCATCAGTATGCCAGCTCCAGGGCCTCAGTCAACAGACGTGAATGGAAGGATAGTGGTAATTCTCTCAATTGTTCACTCTGGGGACATTTTCATTCAGATGCTTATGTGTGTTTCACTTGATCCTTCTTACAGCCTCAGTGGGAGGCTGGGTCAGAACGGGGACAGTTTCCCAAGCCGATAACGACTTCCTAGAAGGAAATCTAGGGATTTTTCTCTCTTAGCCACAGATTCACAAACATACCTATTCTTTAGTTGTCTGTAATGCCATTAACAGCAATTATTTCAATCTATGTGTATAGCATTACATGTTTGAACATAGATATATTTGCTTTATATGCACCTTTGTGAGAACACACCTCTTGCTTACAATAGTCAAACTGTGTCTTTGTTTTAGTGTCCTAATTGAAAAACATGCACATAGACCAAAAGAGGTGAACACAGATTCTCAGGGAAGGGGTGGAAAAAGGGAGTGAGTATGTGGAGGGAGTTTTTTTCAGAATCACCTGGGGATTTATTCAAAGTGCCTTTCCCTTGCTGCCCTGACCACCCCACTGCACCCCAGGAGGAATCATTACAGTTGAGGGCATGCTGAATCCCTCAGACGCACTGGAGTGGAAAAATTCTTCACTTACTACAATATAAAATATTTTCAATGAAACTATGATAACTAGGTGCCTGGGAATGGATTACTTTTGTAGCAGGTATGATTCTCAGTCTACAAATTAAGTTATGCAAGCAATACTAAATCTCTTTATTTTCTAGAAATCAATTAAATAATCTCTCCAGGCTCATGAGAAAATATAATCTGAGTCATTCTCCAGGCCTCCCCTCCCTTCTCTAGGTCATGTCAGTGCCCAGCATATTCTGCAATGTGAAGGTGTCTATGGAGACTCGGTGTTTTCGTCTGTTCCACAGGTTTCCACTAAGACTTCCGTTGTCCATGATCTTAAGGGCTTTTCAGGACTGCTGACATTTTGATGCTTCCAAGCCATGCCTAAGACAGGGGACTCTCTTGTAAGGTGGCTTAGGGGTGTTGTTTGCCTAGATATTGCATGCAGCTCTTTCTCTATGGGTTCTTGCAAGGGAGGAGACCACCCCTCATACTGTCTTATGCCCAATTTCTGCTTCCAAAGAAAGAAGAAGTGAAAACTAAATGGCAGAAATGGAATCCACAGGCAGACAGCCTGGTACCGCACCTGGGGTCTGGTAGTTAAAAATCAGCCCCTGACCTAACTGCTTGTGTTATCTATAGATTTCAGACATTGTATGGAAAAGCATCATGAAAACCCCTGTCCTGTTCTGTTCCATTCTGATTACTGGTGCATACAGTCCCCAGTCACGTACCCACTACTTGCTCAATCGATTACGACCCTGTCATGCGGACCCCCTTAGAGTTGTAAACCCCTAAAAGAGACAGGAATTGCTCACTCGGGGAGCTCGGTTTTTGAGACGTAAGTCTTGCTGATGCTCCCAGCCGAATAAAGCCTTTCCTTCTTTAACTCCATATCTGAGGGGTTTTGTCTGCGGCTCATCCTGCTACACTTGCAGCATCTTTTCTTGTCTATTCCAAGGCCTCCCTTCATCTCCAGTTCTGGTGCAGGAACCTTTTTTCTACTCTAGGAAGCCTTCTATTCCTCCAGTTATCCTTTTTATTTCTTTTAACAAGTCTCCCATTTTTTTCTTCTTTATTGTAAACCCTCTAAGTTCTACTGTGAGCTCAGGCTTCTGAAAACAAAACCCAGAACTTCTATTTTGAGACAGAGTTTCACTCTTGTTGCCCAGGCTGGAGTGCAATAGTGCAACCTTGGCTCACTGCAACCTCCACCTCCCAGGTTCAATTGATTATCCTGCCTCAGCCTCCTGAGTAGCTGGGATTACAGGCATGTACTACCACACCCGGCTAATTTTATATTTTTAGTAGAGACAGGGTTTCCCCATGTTGGTCAGGCTGGTCTCAAACTCCCAACATCAGGTGATCCGCCAACCTTGGCCTCAAAGTGCTGGGATTACAGGTGTGAGCCACTGTGCCTGGCCTAAAACCCAGAACTCCATGGAGTTCTTTCTGCTTTCTGTCCCACCACATAATTTCCTTGAGCCCATATGAAACACAGAGCCAGTTCCAAGTTTGACTGAGGGAAAGATACAGAAAAGAAAAAAAAAAATTACAATTTAGTGACCCCAAATTTATTTTTTTTTCTCATTTTTATATCATCTTTACTAGTGATCCTCAGTTCTAGTTTCCAAATATGCATAGAAAGATGGTTTGGGGCTGTTGCAAAAATTCTCTAAAACTTTCGAAATCAAGTTAATGCTGGAGAAATTTAAAATTCCAAAATAAATAATGGTTCTTGTAAAAGCTCAGAGATTTAAGAGGTTAGAAAAGTACTTCTCCCATTCTAACAATGAGAAAAAAAACTAGATAAACTACAAAATTAACAACGTTTTTGAACCTATGGCAGAACTGATGTTATAGGCAAACAACTGTCTTAAAACCAAGAGAAACACAAGGGCCTGCCGGGAGAAACAGTATTCAAGCATACACTTACCTAGAACAGATGCTGCCAAATGCCATAAAAACCTGGTAAGGAGATTATGCTAGAGATGTTTAAAGAATTGCTAAAGGCCAAGTGTGAGCTAGTGTTAGAGGCATTTGAACCAGAGCAACTCCAAGGGGCTGGGTAAAATAAGGCTGAGACCTACTGGGCTGTGTTCCCAGATGGTTAGGCATTCTATGTCACAGGATGAGATAGGATATCTGCACAAGGTACGGGTCATAAAGACTTTGCTGATGAAACAGATTGCAGTAAAGAAGCCGGCTAAAACCCACCAAAACCAAGATGGCCACAAGAGTAACCTCTGGTCGTCCTCACTGACACACTTTCACCAGCGCCATGACAGTTTACAAATGCCATGGCAACCTCAGGAAGTTACCCTATATGGTCTAAAAAGGGGAGGCATGAATAACCCACCTCTTATTTAGCACATCATCAAGAAATAACCATAAAAATGGGCAATCGGCAGCCCTCCCTCGGGGCTGCTCTGTCTATGGAGTAGTCATTCTTTTATCCCTCTAATTTCTTAATAAGCTTGCTTTCACTTTACTGTATGGACTTGCCCTAAATTCTTTCTTGCGCAAGATCCAAGAACCCTCTCTTAGAGTGTGGATCAGGACGGGTTTCTGGTAACACTAGCGTGGCAGTGTGAAGTCCCACAGGCTGCAGACATAGGAGGGTTCACACTCTCTTACAGTTTTTCCCTCCAAGAACAACAGGAGCTCACAGGGTAGATCAAGGAGAAGCCTCAGAAAATGTCCTCCAAGATGTTGGCTGGAGAAGGGGAACAGCAACCACTGCCCAAACATCACCCTGATACATTGCCTTCATCTTCCCTACCCAACAAAGCTTTAATCTGCAAAGGGAAGTCAGTCAAAACTGTACCCCTGGAAACTGACTGCAGCTAGGAGAGGAGAACATGAGGGAAAAGAAGCTTCACTTTGGGGGAGGGGCAGGAATATTTGCTAGGCCAGCACTACAGCTGGAGAAGTTGCAGGAGCCCCTGAGACCCAGGTTTTCAGTTTCTGCTAAGACTGACGCTTCATAAGAACATAAGAGATTGCCCCTCTCCCTCTCTTGGCCACCAAGCTAACAAGAGTTGCAGGGAAATATAGTTTGGAGAACTACATACAGACTCTCTCCGGAGGATAGCGCAAAGGGGAGACTCAAAACCAAGAGAAGAGACAGAAACAATATATCACTAGTGGAGTTTAAAGCTTCTGGAGCCCTGAGGGTAACCATAGCAATAATAAACTTCCAGTCCAACTCTGGACTAAATTAACACAAATTCCCACATTAAAAGTCTAGCAGAAGGAAAGGCATGCTCAGTTCCAAGCATAAAAATATTTACATAGTATCTACTCTCCTATATAACACATTTACCTTTCATCAAAAAGTTACATGGTACACAAAAGGCAAGAAAAAACACAGTTTGGAAAGGCAAAGTAATCATCAGAACCAGCCTCATAAACATGTTGGATTTATCAGGGAATTTTAAATAACTATGACAAATATGTTAAAGACTAATGGAAAAGGTGGACAACATGCAAGATCAGATAGAAATTTCAGCAGAGAGATAGAAACAACAAGAAAGAATCAACTGAAAATGCTGGACATCAGAAACACAGTAGCAGATATGAAGACTATCTTTGATGGGCTTACCAGTAGACTTGATATAGTCAAGGAAATAATTAATGAAGTGGAATATAGGTCAATAAAATTTACTCAAACTGAAACACAAGGAGAATGGAGTAGAAAAAAATAGAACAAACTCTCCAAGAGCTATGGGACAATATTAGACAGTCTAACATATACATAATTTGAAATCCTAGAATGAGAAGAAAGAATAGGTAGAAGAAATGTTTAAGAAATAATTGCTGACAATTTTCTAATTACTGACAGACATTCTTATGTTCTGAATGTATCTCCCTCAGATTCATGTGTTAAAAACTCAATCCCTAATGCAACAATATTGGGAGATGGTTCCTAAAGGGAGGTGTTTAGATTACGAGGGCTCTGCCCTTGTGAAAGGATTAATGCTGCTATAAAAAAAGCTTGCAGGAGTAGGTTTGTTCCCTTCCACCTCCTGCCATGTGAGGATGCAGCAAGGAGGCCCTCACCAGATACTAGCACCTTGATCTTGGACTTGCCAGCCTCCAGAACTGTGAGAAATAAATGTCTGTTTCTTTAAAATAAATTGTCTAGTCTGTGGTATTTTGTTACAGTAGCCTAAAAGAGACTATGACAGAAATTGGTATGAGAGAAGTGAGGTGTTGCTACAATAAATATCTAAAAATGTGGAAGTAACTTTGTAACTGGGTAATGGGTAGAGGCTGAAACAGTTTTGGAGTGAATGCTGGAAAAAGCCTGTATTGCCATGACAATACATTAAAAGCATTGAGGGCGATTCTGGTGAGGGCTCAGAAGAAGAGAGGTGTAGGAAAAGCTCCAGTCTTCTTGGAGATTACTCAAGTGGTCATGAACAGAGTGCTGGTAGAAGTACAGACAGTAAAGGCCATTCTGATGAGATTGTACATGAAAATGAGGAACAAATATTGGAAACTGGAGGAAAGGCCACCTATGTTACAAAGTGGCAAAGAACTTAGCTGAATTATGTTCATGTCCTAGAATTTTACGGAAAAGGCAGAACTTAAATGCGATGAACTAGGATATTTGGCAGAAGAAATCTCGAAGCTGAGAAGTGTTTTAGGATGCTAAGTGACTTCTCTTAATTGCTTATAGTAAAATGTGAGAAGAGAGAAACAATTTAAAGATGGAATTTACAATTAAAGGAAAAGCAGAACATAAACATTTGGAAAATCTCAGTCTGCCATGTAAAGAATAGGAAAACATGTTCAGGAAAGAAAATTACGGGTGTGGCCAAGTGACCATTTGATAAGGAAATTAGTAGGGATAGAAGGAATCCAGGTGCTACTCATCACAGCAACAGGAGAATGGCCCTGAAGGCATTCTGGAGATCTTCGGAGGCCGCCATGCCCACCACAGTCCCAGAGTGCTAGGCCTAGAAATATCATCAGAGTGATCAGATGAAAGGAAATAATATAGTACATAAAGAAATGCAATTGAAAATAGAAAAACAGTACATAAAATCAATGAAAGCAAAGCTGATTGATGTAGTTTGGCTGTTTGTCCCCTCCAAATCTCGTATTAAAATGTGATTCCCAGCGTGATTCCCAGGGTTAGAGGTGGGGCTTGGTGGGAGGTGTTTGGGTCATAGGACAGATCCCTCATGAATAGCTTGGTGCCCTCCCCACAGTAATGAGTTCGCACAAGATCTGGTTGGTTAGAAAGGAGCCTGGCACTTCCTCCTCTGTCTTTGCTCCTGCTCTCACTATGTGACATGTGTGCTCCGCCTTCGCCTTCCACCATGAGTAAAAGCTTTCTCACCAGAAGCCAAGCAGATGCTGCTGCCATGCTTGCACAGCCTGCAGGATTGTGAGCCAAATAATCTGCTCTCTTTATAAATTACCCAGCCTCATGTATTCCTTTAGAGCAATTCAAATGGACTAATACATTGATACTTTGATAAAGTCATAAAATTGATAAGTCACTGGTCAAGCTGGCCAAGAAAAAGAGAGTGAAGACACAATTTCTCAATATCAGGAATGCAACAAGGGACATCACTACTGATCTCACGGATGTTAAAAAGATAATAAGAGAATAGTACAGACAACACTATGTCCATAAGTTCAACAATTTAGGTAAAATGAACCAATTATTTCAAAGAGCCAATCCACCACAATTCACTTAAGAAAGATACCTAAGTTGGGGCTGAGCACCGTGGTTCACGCCTGTAACCCTAGCACTTTGGGAGGCTGAGGCGGGTGGATCATGAGGTCAGGAGATCGAGACCATCTTGGCTAACACGGTGAAACCCCGTCTCTACTAAAAATACAAAAAATTAGCTGGGCATGGTGGCGGGTGCCTGTAGTCCCAGCTACTTGGGAGACTGAGGCAGGAGAATGGCGTGAACCCGGGAGGTGGAGCTTGCAGTGAGCCAAGATTGCGCCACTGCACTCCAGCCTGGGCAACAGAGCAAGAATCTGTCTCTAAAAAAAAAAAAAGAAAGATACCTAACCTGAATATTCCAATATATATTAAAGAAATTGAAACTATAGTTTTAAAACTTCTAAAAAGGAAACTCCTAGTGTAGATGGTTTCACTGGTAAAATCTACAAAACACTTAAGCAAGAAATAATCCCAATTTTACATAATATCTTCCAGAATATAGAACATTTATGAATTCATCTGGTGAGGTCAGCATTATTCCAGGACTCAAACCAGCTTGCACATGGCCAAGAAAAGAAAACTATAGCCCAAGATACCTCATGAAAATAAATGTAAAAAATGCTCAACAAAATATTAGCAAATCAAATCTTGCAATATATTAAAAGGATAGTATATAACCAATTGGGGTTTGTCTCAGATTCCAGGAAAGAAACTCTCGCTTAAATTTTAAAAAATCAATGTAATTCATTATATTATATACATTCATCTCAATAGAAACAAAAAATCAATGAAATTCAACATCCATTCATGATAAAAGTCTCAGAAAACTAGGAATAGAAGAGAACTTTCTTAACTTTATATAGGAAAGCTATGAAAAACCTACAACTAACATCATACTTAAGAGTAAAATACTGAATGTTTTACCCTCCAAAACTGGGAATAAAGCAAGGATGTCCTCTCTGACTATCCCTAATCAACACCAGACTGGAAGTCATAGCCAGTGAAGTAAGCCAAGAAAAACAAATAAACAGCATACAGCTTTGAAAGGAAAAAGATAAGACTGTCTTTAATTGAAGACAACATGGTTATCAATGTAGACAATTCCAAAAATATACAAAACACTCCGAGAACTCATAAGTACATTTAAAAGGGTCAATATACAAAAACCAATCATATTCCTTATCACGCGCGTCCGTGTAGAGAGACCACCAACAGGCTTTGTGTGAGCGACAAAGCTGTTTATTTCACCTGGGTGCAAGTGGGCTGAGTCTGAAAAGAGAGTCAGCAAAGGGTGGTGGGATTATCATTAGTTCTTATAGGTTTTGGGATAGGCGGTGGAGTTAGGAGCAATGTTTTGCCGGCAGGGGATGGATCTCACAAAGTACATTCTCAAAGGTGGGGAGAATTACA